CACAGAAGTCGATTTACTGCTGAACACCCTCACTCAATTTTGAGGATTTGCTCAGCTCAGAGCCTGACCCCAAATATTGATGAACTTGTAGAAAAGTTAAGACACCACCGAGTATCAGCCTCAGCCTCAAAGAAGTGAATATTACTTATAATATACTGTGCAATCACATACTAAGAGTTTTTACTCAGTTCAAGTTTAAAAATTAAAGTACAATATTTGCTTTCGCTGCTTGTTACTTCTTGAAGAAAGTGTTGTTTTTGGTTTATACATTTTTGCACTTTATTTTATTGTATTTCAATCCAATTATGTTTTAAAAATATTTTATTCGAGTAAATGATCGAAAATTACTGCACTATTATTTGTTTTTCTTTTAAGTAAATTTAGCCTACTTTTGCTAAAAGAGAAAATATGGACTAGTGACAGTGCCTTGAATAATATCAGCTTCTTTCATTCATGTTATGGGTATTTTTATACAAAGGAATTTTTTTTGTGCCTGTTGAAAATTAAAGTTTACTGACATAGCCATAAAAAAATGTTGCTTTATTTATCTGACCGTATTGGAATGTATTTGTTAGGTTTTCAGTCAATTAAATTTGGTTCAATAAACAATATGTGGTTATTTTTAAAATTTTCAATGAACATTCGATCAGTCCGGCCCTCGGCTTGCAGCAAAAATTTTTATCTGGCCCTCCGTCCATTTGACTTTGACACCCCTGCCATAGGCGCTCAATCCATCGTAAGGAGGAAAATGCTTAATCCAAAAGTTTGGAGTAATCATTTAGATATTTTCAGAGATTCAAGTGGGCGTAGGTAGAGATGTGCACATGAATTTTGATGCCAGTTGGTTATCGTTTACTAACGTTGCTTAACCAACGTGACACTTTTTCTCTACAGTGAACGTCTATGGGGAGAAATAAGGCTTAATGCCCATAAAATTCAGAATACAGTCCTGTGGTGACTGTTTTGATTTTTAAAAGGTTGAAGTGGGCATGAGTAGACACATGCATATGAATTTTGGTGACAATTCATAGCAGTTTTCTGACATTAAGCAACATTAAGCTTATTTGCATGTATGGTACGTTGTTTGTCTGTTTTTGATAACAGTAAAGTGACTTCAGTGGCACTAATTGCAAAGTCTTGTAGTTGATATCCAATACTATACAGCATTCAAGTCTGGATTAATATTAATTTTGTGTACGTATGTTTGTGGAACAGGATGCTCACAATTGTATCCCTGAGTTTGACGAAGAGACCGCCATGTTTTCTGTGTATGATGGTCATGGAGGTAAACGTTGTTGAACACACTGTTCATTTATGAATGACTCATTGCTATTGAACACCAATAATCAAAATCATATTCACTTAGTATTCCACTGTTGTTTTTGTCCTGCTTCTTTCACCATTGCTGAGATATTATGAGCTGCTCTTCCCTTTTAGGAGAAGAGGTGGCTCTTTATTGCTCAAAGTACCTTCCTGATATCATCAAGGAGCAGAAAACCTACAAAGATGGCAAATTACAGAAGGTTGGGCGTGTGGCTGAGAAGTTCATATTTCAGAATGGGGGCTCTTCACTTGAGATTACTTGTAGACTTTGTTTTTGCGTGTGTTCTTCGTAGGCACTGGAGGATGCCTTCTTGGCCATCGACTGCAGAATCACCACAGAGGATGTCATCAAGGAACTGGTGCAGATCGCCGGGCGTCCCATCGAGGAGCCCCCCATTCAAAAAGTGGCAGACGAAGATGACGGTGAGTGGCTCCTTAAATAACGGGGGTTTTCAGCTCCCTGTTTCTTGGTGTACAGTGCTCCTAATGACAATCTCTCTCACGCTCTCTCGCTCTATGCTGTTTGTTCTGTCCTCTGTCCAGTGGACACAGAGGAGGCGGCGTTACTTCATGAGGAGGCCACGATGACCATCGAGGAGCTGCTCGTGCGCTACGGACAGAATAAGAACGCTAACAAACAAGCCATTGCTAGCAGGTAAGCTCAATGTCTTTGTTTTCGGAATATCCAATTTATCACATTGAAAAAATCTCCCACACCAGGAAGAAATATACATGACACTAATCCCCATTACGGTGATTCTGTTGCTGTCATAAAATCTTGATTTGCTTTTAGTGACATCTTAACATTCTTGGAAAAAGTGTAAATACAACTTTATGACCTAAGACTAAAACTCTCAAACAACTTAGATATGTAAACAAGAGCATTAGGACACAACACAATTTTACCGTTCTTGACTGTCAAAATTGTGAAAAACAAGTTAAAAAATAGCAATAAAAAGTAGTGTCACCCTTTGGTGGATGACGCTAATAATATCCAGAGAGGCTAACCTTTTGCGTTTCACATTAAAACACAGCTATCCTTCTGTAATTTTCTGTCTCCAAAAAAGCCAAAGAGAAACAAACATGCTTTTCTATGCTCACGAGCTGTACTCTGACATATCATAGTGCCGTTAAAGGTTCCACTGTGTGTGTATGAAGCTATAAATTACTCAGCATTATAAAACAACACCTGACATCTACTGATATGTTTCAAAGAGAACACTGTGAACCCTGTATTGTGTTCTGAGACTCCACAAACAATTTACTGTACTGCATACCGGTCATTTTTATTCACAAAAACACGGCAGGATGTTTCAGAGTATAAGCAAATTGCCACAAAGCAAGGAAACGGGCCAGAATAAAGGAGTGAGAGTGTATATTTTGAGAATCTGGAGTCAATGATCAATTGCCCCATTCACTGACTTCACCTGTGCATTTTGGTCGCATAGACTGTCCATTTTTGACCAATCGAAAATGTTGAAAATGACTCGCTCTCACAGGCAAAGCAAAGATTTCCTTCTACTCTCGTTTCCAGCGCAACCGTGAAGAAAGCATCGGGCCAGTCTCCAAAGGCCTCTGGACACAAGGGGGAAAGTGAGGAAGGACCAAAGAAGGAAGGGAGTGTGAATGGAGAGGTGGAGGAGGAGAGCAACGGAATGGAGGACGACGACGGAGCAGACCGCGGGTCCAAGCTGCGGGCATGCCGCAGAACCCTTAATGATGAAGGCTGCGGCTCAGGTAAGATCATTTGATCCTGGTCATCCTTTTAAATCTCACCTGAATGCAGTTTCAGTCTTGGAAGAATTTTGTGCTGGTTTCGCCTCCGCAGTAGCAGACTGCGACGGCTCAGGAGGCTCCAATGGAGATGACAAGACCGCTAAAGCTGAGGTGGACGCAGGCCCCTCATGTTCTTCGTCCTCCAAAACTGAAGGCGATTCCAAGTCCAGATTCTTCGACGACAGTGAGGAGTCTGAAGGGGAGGGTGAAGATGAGGAGGAGAAAGACGAGGGCAGTGAAGAAGAGGTGAGGCGAACAGAGTCTGATTGCTGGGTTGGTCAAGACAGTAGAACAACATGCTGATGTTCTTGTGCTGGTTCAGGATGGCAGTGAAGAAGGGGAGGAGGTTGACAGCAGTGAGTTAGAAGAGGATACTGAAGAGGGAGAGGAAGACTCTGAGGATGAAGATGAGGAGGAAATGAGTCTACCTGGAATGAATGGCAAAGAGGAGGTGTGTACCTGGAAGAAGGATTTCAGTGTTTTTTTTTTTTTTTTTTAATGAAACAGTTTGACACCTTTTGTCTTTTGTGTCTGTCTAATTGCGTTTTTATTGTGGTTGTTTTTTCTTAAATTGTGTTTAAAAATAAACCCCACCAAGCCTCAACAATCAAAGAAGCAAAATATGATACACAATGGAAAAGAAAGACAATCAATTACATTCTATTTGTGAGTGTGAAAAAAAATCAATCAATTAAAACACCAACAAGTAAAAGAGGATGTGATCATCAGTCATGCTTCACATAAGTAGCGCTGTGTTCTTCTCCCGTCACTTTGGTCCGTTGCACACTCAAGCCACGTGACCGAATTCGTTGAGCAACGTATCCGGTTCTGCCACTCACTTTCATGAGTGCTCAACCCCTCGGCTTAATTTCATTGTGACCTGTGGAAAGACTCTCGCCAAAATGCACGAATGCTTTCAATGAATTGGATGATCATTGGCAAAACTGCCTGTTAAAAGTATCCACACACACACATGCTGACTCCTTTATTTATTGCCCATTTCCTATCTTTTTATTATTGTGATGCAGATACAGCAGGGAGAGCGATCCGCTTTTTCCTTGAGAATATTCTTTATGGTTTGGGGGAAAAAAAGCATACTTTTTGTAGAACCTCATAAGGTTGTTTTCCGGTAAGAACACTGTGGACAAGGGTCCATCAGCATGTGCTTGAGTGTTAGTCACCGACTATAATTTGTTGATGATTGTCCAATTCAGTCGGGTTCATGTGCTGCCGGCTTTAGTAACCCCTTTTTTTTGGGGAAAAATGTACCATGGTGAATGTCAAGGTTTGAGGCGTTGAATGTCCTTGTAGTTCAGTAAGCATCTTTCAAAGTGTAACCAGGCTCTTGTGTTTTTGGGGGCGCTGGATTACAGCCTGGCTCAGACAGCGGCACCACTGCTGTTGTGGCTCTGATCCGAGGCAAACAGCTGATTGTGGCCAACGCTGGAGATTCCCGCTGCGTGGTCTCCGAGCGAGGTAACGAGCCCATATTTTGCTTCGTGTCTGCCACATATAGTTGCTTTTCTCTTATTAAACACCGGAACGCGTGGCTCTTCTGGTAACTGAGATGTTCGCAACTGGATTTTGTCAGAATTTTGTGTTCTGTGGCTGTGGCACAACTTCTGGCTTTTCCGCAGGGAAAGCGGTGGACATGTCTTATGACCATAAGCCTGAGGATGAGCTGGAGCTGTCTCGTATTAAAAAGGCTGGAGGCAAAGTAACCGTGGACGGACGGGTCAATGGCGGACTGAACCTCTCCAGAGCCATTGGTATGTATGCACATTATTACCCAAGAGCCACTCTCAGTTTGGTACGACTGCACATCTGAAACCAATAATTCAAAGTGCAAATACTTTGTGTGTGTGTGTGTGTGTGTGTGTGTGTGTGTGTGTGTGTGTGTACAATTATCCCCCCGGTGTCTTTGTCTTTACTTTTTCAAACTACGTTTGTGACTTCTCTCAATTTCATTTCTTTAAAATGGACAACGCACATTCATTTACGCGGGTTTTCCAACCTCCGCGTATGATGACACGATGTATAAAAGGTTCACCAAAAATATTCACAGACTAATGTTGCTGATCGGCGCTGTCCTCCGTGTTCTCAGGTGATCATTTCTACAAGAGGAACAAGGTCCTGCCCCCAGAGGAGCAGATGATCTCGGCCATGCCCGACGTGAAAGTTTTGACCCTCAACGATGACCACGACTTCATGGTCATCGCCTGCGACGGCATCTGGTGGGAAGCTTTTAACTTTGAAATACTCTCTGCGAAATAGTTGCTTCACTTTGCTGCCGTCGTTACTTTTGGCCTGTGGCTGAACCTCGTTTTCTCATAACGTTCGTGCAGGAATGTGTTGAGCAGTCAGGAGGTGGTGGACTTCATCAGCGAGAGGATCAAGCCGGACCACAGCGGCGCCAGACCGCTTTCGTCCATCGTGGAGGAGGTGAATAAAAAAACATCACATAAGCACACCTACACACGACCTAATCCGATTCAAGAAATGTTGATCGACTCTGTCAGAGATTTATTCACGGAACAAAAAAGTTATTTTTGTGGTTGTTGTTGGTGCGGTGGTGTTGAACTGGACTTCAATGGTTCCTCCACTTACGAGTGACCCAACGTCAATATATTTTTCGAGATGAGGTGTCACGCAAGCGACTTGAGGTGCGGGCAAAAATGGGAGTTACAAATGTGAGACGGTGGAAGCAAACTTCACACCAAACAGAACTTCGGCAGATAAAATGGGAGTTACAAATGTGAGACGGTGGAAGCAAACTTCACACCAAACAGAACTTCGGCAGATAAAATGGGAGTTACAAATGTGAGACGGTGGAAGCAAACTTCACACCAAACAGAACTTCGGCAGATAGTGAACAATTAAACAAAAAGCCAAGTGCTTGTTTCAGGTGGTTTATTGCCACTAATATATCACACATCTTAAATGTAATATTGTTTATTTTAATACAGATTGATTTATTGCTTGTTTCAATATTTGGGAAGGGGTTCTTGAAAAAATAATTATGTATTAAATTGCAATTGCAATATTGACGATGAATAATTGCAATTAGATTATTTTTCAAAATGGTTTAACCCTACACTGACATAATCCCCCCCACCACCACCACCAGCCTGACAAATTACCTTTATGATTTGTTTCCTTCCGCAGCTTTTGGACCATTGTTTGGCCCCAGACACATCTGGAGACGGGACAGGATGTGACAACATGACCTGCATGATTGTCACCTTCCGACCGCACCCGTGCCTCGCTCAGACCCTGTCAGATGACACGAAGAAGAGGAAGCACCCGGAGGAGGAGCAAGAGGAGAAGGCGGCGGCGAGGGGAGCCAAGTCCGAGAACAACGGGAATGACAGCAAAAAGCCCAAAAGTGACCAAAGCTAAGGAAGAACTGTTGGGGGCGCGAGCAGCTGGTCACCAGAAATGAAGTCCTGACCTCACACAATGCTCACTTCACCATGAAACAAAGTTTTCTGTTTTAGGTGGATCCTCTCTTTAAACTCACAAGTTGTTTCTGTCCTTCGCTGACATTGGTAATGACGATGAGCCCCCTCCCTCCCTCCAGCCCTTGCTATTCAGTGGCAACTAGAGCAATTCATCTTTTCCTTAACCTACATTTGGACCACGCTTTGGTTCATTCCCGACTTTTTTCCGAACCGCCCCGAATTTTCTCTACCTGGCTTTCGCACACTTTAATTTTCATGGGAGTTTGAGCTTACTTTGCATTTCTGTCCCCAGCTTTCATTTTGCCCAACACCTGCACGATACTCCTGGGGTGTTCTGAAGCAGTCGGCGCCTCTGCCAAGTGCCATAAAAGTTGTGATTTGCATCTATTTGTCCATCTTTAGATTGTCTGCAGGCAGAGCACAGAGGCCATGTTTGCTGTCAAGCAGTGATGGGACAGACCAAGAGCGTGTTTTGAGTTTAGTGTTGCATTGGATCCCCCCCCCCTTTTTTTTCTTCATTCCTCCATGTCGTCAATGTTTAAATGAATTTCTGGAAGCGAGAAAGTATTTTTTATCCCCCAAACACCCTTAGAAGTCCATCCAGAGACATCCATTATATCACCATTTTCAATATAATTTTTTTTAGATTAGGATTTATATTAAGCAAAGGCAATTTGTACCTAAATAGTGCTATCTCTTTATAAGATCGTTGCGATCTGTGGAGGTGAAGCACCAAGTTTGTTTTTGAGTGGTACAATTTGAATTCAAGACTTTCAAGCTTTCAACTCCTTATGATTGTAAGTTGGGGTCTCACATTCTTAATTTTCCCTCCTGTACATAGTCCCCCCCACTTCCAGTCCTTGTACGTGAAGATTAAAATCACTTTTTCTTTGTAATTGTATGTCTGTGTAACATTTTTGGTGAATTCTCTTTTGACACCAGTATGTAAGTACATTCAATAAATTTTTTTTTACAAAAGCAAAAGTGTGTTTCGCAACTCACATATGTCTTTGTCTCACATGGTTATGTCTTACCTTCTTTCCGGATACAGTAATTCGAAGTGATGCAAAAGCCCACCAGAGGGCAGCAACGATGTTTGAGTGACAGGAGGGTGAATTACCTCCCAAAGAATTGAGGAGGGAGGGATTGCTTAACGGGGCCCAACCGCAACATAATAATTGTAGTCCCACAGACTGAAGTAAATAAAAACACAAGAAGGAAAAAAACAGTTTTGGACATGCAATGCATTCTTTTCACAAGGCACCGACAATTTTAATACATTAAAAAAAAAAAACAACCTTTGCTTATGTTTCAGGTAATACAAGTACTGTACTTTTCATTGATTAGCGACACAGTGACTGCATAGGAAATGATGCTGAAACCGCGAGGGGGTTCATGGAGTATAACTTTACATCTGCTATGGCAACTCATGCCCTGTGGGCCAGATATTCTTGAATTTGCCTCACCAGCCATTTACATCAGGCATGGGAAACTTAAATGCCGGAGGGGGCCACAGTTTTTCATCAGTGCTACTGAGGGGGCCACCTAAGGACCACACATTTCCTGACCAGATATGACAAAAATGCCCGTTTAAATATAGACAAAATACGTGCGTATGTGCAGAATGCATGCTCTCAATATATTTCATTATCTATGCATGCTCTCTCTCTCTCTCTCTCTCTCTCTCTCTCTCTCTCTCTCTCTCTTTGAAACTAATATGTGGCCTTTAAATACAAAAGTTAGCCTGTCCCTTCTTTCCATCTTACTATAAGTTGCCAAGTGTTCAGGATGCTTGTCGCAGTCTTCCTATAGGCTGCTGCTCCCCTTTGGAAGGATCATTGTTGCTGCAGGAACAATAGAAAGAGTGAGAGGAAACATACTGTCCTTGGATTCTAAAAGCGTCAGCATGGACACACACACAAACGCAAGCACACTTCCACTTGACTTAAACAGGCAGGATGTTTTTTTGTCCTCACAGTGTAGATTACAAGTTTTCGTGGAGGATCCATCGAGCCAGCTTTGTTTATTGATCGGAGGGAGCCCCAAACTGTGGGAAAGGCCTTGAGAGGTAGTGTGAGTGCAAACTATGGACAATTTAGAGTCTTCAATAAACCTAACAAGCATGTTTTTGGAATGTGGGAGGAAGACTGAGGGCCTGCATAAAAACCACACGAATATAAGAAGAACATGCAAACTCCACACAAGAAGGCCTGGATGTGCTACCCACTATCACACCGTGCCGCCATCATACACACAGTCCAGAGTAAATTTAAACTCTTGAAGCGGTCCAAAAGTATCTTGAAAACCGTAAAAAATGTTGAAGATGTACTAGGCAGTGAAATACTGAATATGCTATCAAGCAGTCGCTCCAATTTTTAGTGCAAAAAAACCTACAAAAATGCTTCTACGAATGGCTACTTGGATAGTCAATTGCCACCTTGTCCAGCTGTGCGCGCGCGCGTGTGTGTGTGTGTGTGTGTGTGTGTGTGTGTGTGTGTGTGTGTGTGTGTGTGTGTGTGTGTGTGTGTGTGTGTGTGTGTGTGGGGTACAGTCCAATATAGCATGCTATAGACCACAATAGCAGGTTGTAGTTAGACAGTGGGAACATTCATCAAGATTCCAAGTCTTTTTTGGTCACCGGCTCTCGTTCGTCAAACTCTGTAGGCCTTGTTGCTCTCACATTGCACACACCCCAGCACACACACACACACACACACACACACACACACACACACACACACACGCATTCCAGCAGTCGAAGATCTGCAGTCAAAATACCAACTGCGAATGAAAATAGATGACTAACCATACTGTGTGTTTTTCAAAACCACACTGATCTGCATTCCTGCTTTGATATACAGTACTGCAGTCCATGCAGCACACGTGATGCACATTTTTAAAGTGGATTGTTAAAAGCGACATTAATATTGCCTGTCAAGCTTCTGAGTGACACAGGACGAGTATTTGCCTAAAATTCCTTCTGTGACTATATGTGGAAGGCTAACCATCGATTTATCATGCATCATTTTTGATACCGCTGGGGTCATTGCGGGTGAGTTTGTGGTCGAGCGGACTTTGGGCGAGAGGTGGGGTGTAATGCCATGGAGATGTTAGCAGCTAACTGTCACCTAACTTTCACAGATAGGCAAACAAAAAACATTCACACTCATGTTCACATCTAAGGACTATTTAGACTAGTCTTTCGCTGAGCTAACAAACATCTCTTAACCAAAATGCGCAACGTATTGAAACGTCATTCATTTCAAGACTGCAACAGTGATAAATGAAACCGTGAATTTGTCAGTTAGTTGACAAAATGACCTTAATATGAAATGAAGGCTCCAGTGGAAATGCTTAAAGTACATGTGTCAAAGTAAAGGCCCGGGGGCCAGATCCGGCCCCCCCACATCATTTTATGTGGCCCGCGGGAGCAAATCATGTGTGTCAACTATCATGATTCTTGCTGAAATCTGGACCAAAATGTCAAATTGTTTGTCTTTAAAGAGTGTTATTTTCTTTCACCCGCTGACACAATATCGTTAATTTTCAGCATTGTGAAATGTCTTTAATTTTTTTGCGGCCGTCTCTCGTAACCAAAACTTCTCGCTAAACTTTTGATGCATCAAACAGATGACTTTTCGTCAGGAAATCGGGCATGGTTTGTATAAATGAGAATGAATTCTGATTCACGAACATACGCACAGTGGTATTACCTGGTATGGTATGGCGTATACAATGAAGTTGTGCGGAGTAAGACATTTCTACACGCTCGTTAGTAAATGAGGTCAGTATTCTAAACTCATGAACTGAGCAGTAAAATGTTACTCACAGGTTGCTGAACTAGTTGACAAATAATCAATTAACGGGTTTATGACTTATTATATACTTCCCTGGTACAAATACATAACCATTCAACCCAATCCAGTTCACGCTGATGTGGAGCTGGAGCACATCCTAGATGAGCGAAAGGCTGTCAATCACAAGGCACATATAGAGACAGACTCCACACAGGAAACAATGAGTAAATGATTGAAGTAAAGAAACGAAAAAGCCAGCCAATGAACACTCACAATGAAACATGTGGAGTGATGAAACTTGAGTTTATTGGTTGTTTTGTGTTTGTTTTCAATCTTCCCTGTTACCTGCGATTTGCCTTGCTCTTGTACAATGAAACGTGCTACAGAAAAAAAGCACCGATTCACCACTCTCGGGCCTTAGCATACAATGCGTCATACGTGTCAACTTTACCTTCTTTAAATAGCCAAACAGTACATGCCTAAATGTGTATATACACACACACACACACACACATGTACGAACATGCCAATGTCAGCTGTTGATGGCAGGATGTCGCCACATGTCAGCTCCAGACACATCCCCTGGAAAAGTGTGTACGTGTGAATTTGTGTGCGTGTGTGTGTGTGTGTGTGTGTGTGTGTGTGTGTGTGTGTGTGTGTGTGTGTCTTATTCGCTGATGTAAAACAGGAAAATGACCTCTTCCTTTTTTCCTCTCCACTTCCTCTCTTCTTCCTCCCATTTTCAATACATTTGTGTCCTCTGGTGTTCTCCATCCTGAGTGATGCTTTTGTCTGTTCTCATTGTGTCACTTCCTCTCATTCTTATGTACGGACGAGCAACTTGTAAAGAGAGCCCACATATTTTGTCCTCTCAGTAAGTGTAAATAAACCCATTGTCGGGAACAACACAATTGTTTACTATATGGTGAGGCAACAACACTGGTGTAAAAGAAAAAAAAATGGAAAGAAAACATTGACTATAATTTAAGACAATTTGTTGTTGCTGAATTAGAATGAATTAGGTTTAATTTATGAAGATTTGATTCATCATTGTTGGAGTGAAAGTGATATTGTTGGGTAATGTTGGAAGTTGTACATTTCTATTAGATACTTTTGTCTATTTGACACCAATTATTCTGTTTTTGATTACTTTCTTACGATTACTAAGGTAATTATTTGGAGGGTTACTTTATTACTTTCACATATGTCCTTTTATTGAAAAGAGTATAAGGCGCACCTTCAATGAATGGCCTAGTTTTCATGTAGAGGGCGCACTGGATTAAAAGGCGCATAGAATAGAAGCTACAATAGTGGCTGAGGTTGCGTTACGGATGCACTAGATGGAGCTATGCTAAAGGAAATACAATACAATACAATACAATACAATACATCTTTATTTATATAGAGCCTTCACAACCGCTGCAGCTGTAACAAAGCACTTCACAGATCGTCAAAAATAATATTGATCCATATGTCGCTCCCTCAGGATGTAGCATGAAGCAGACACGAATTCCATAAAAACCAGAGTTTATTCCTTGGCATAAATAAAAATAGCATTACAAAACAATAAATGAAAGACAAAAGTTATGAAAACAAGTGATTCAACAAAAAGGCACACAAACCTCATGAGTTCACATCCACAAGGGGCTCAATATGCTTAGAGGTCTTGCTTGTCTCCTTCTTCCTTCGTTTAGTCAGTAGTTTACTCTGCTTTTGGAATGATCTTCGTTTCATAATGGCTGCGCAGGGCTCACAAAGTAGTTGTCTGTTGGAGTGTGTGTTGGTGAACGCATATGTCAATTAGTGTCGGGCAGAACCCTTTTACGTTACAATTGGTTCCTGCTAATAATCACCACTGGATGGCATGGGAACACTAACAGGGAAACTACTCAATGGGGAATATAAAGAGACTGTGACAATATATATGAGGCGCATCGGATTATAAGGCGCACTGTCGGCTTTTGAGAAAATTGAATGCTTTTAGGTGCGCCTTATAGTGCGCAAAATACGGTACATTTTTTGTGTGCTTTCCCTACATTTGGCCTATCGTCTATCCTAGTCCAGTCTAGTATTGTCTAGTCTAGTCTATTATAATATTTACTGTATTCCATAACATTTACACCATTTTTTCATTTCAGTCCACCCCAAATTAGAGACCTGAATACTAAACTGTTATTGGCAACATTC